TCGCACAGCCAAATGAATCATTTGACCTAATGTGCACCGCGATAAACTTTCAATTAATGACTTTGGCTTAACCCTTTGTTTGAATTATAACTTTGTATTAAAGATTCTTTATATTCCTCTAGCTTGCCCTCTTTTGTTGAGATAGGACGACTTTATAACACACGTTTTGTAACTTTTGCAAAATCAGTATGCAAATCTTTAAATGCAGTATCAAAATCTGGCATTTGACAAANTGTTTTTGAAAAAAAGTTGTAAACGTGGCAATCTGATAGCACGGCCTAGTTTATGAGNAAAAAAGTTGATTTATTTAAATTATGGCAAAAAGGTGTTGGATTTTGTACGCAACTATAGGCACAGTAAAATTTTCACAAATGGCATTCAACCGGAATTAAATTTTGTTTTGGAAAAAAAGTTGTAAACGTGGCAATCTGATAGCACGGCCTAGTTTATGAGAAAAACATGTATCGATGATTTTGATTTTATCAAAAATTTAAAAAAAGTTTCCAGCACTCACTCGGCGAAGCATAGAAGAAGAAATTGTTTGTTTGATAATATCAAAATTTTGAATTAAACGTTTGGAAAAGTTTTAGTTAACCACCTTGCAAGGCACTGTTTATTAAAAATTTTAAATTGTAATTTAATTTAGGAAAAGTTGCGTGGCAACATTTTACACACTAGTGTAATTCAAAAATTTAAGTAAAATCATGTATATAGGTCAGAAAAACTTTAAGTTATAAAACAAGTGAAAAAAGGAAAGTTGGTTTGATACCAATAATTTGTACGCGACTGTAGTTCAGAAATTCCATTAGAAACAGTCACACAAGTATGTACATATGTATATGACAAAGCATATTGTAACGCAGTCTTTAAAATTACAAAAGATTCCTTTTTATATTCTTCGATTTATTTCCTTACTATATTTCTGGCAGTCTCTTTGTTTTCGCTGTCACCGGACGAAGAAAGCTAAAATTAGGTTTGTATAGTAACTTCTCCAGTAAAACATTGCAGCGAGAGCGTAAAAGCAAAATAGAGCGTAAAATTGAGAAGAGAAATCTAGCAGAAAAAGTTAATGAACACAAAACTTGCAAAAACTTGCAAGTGAACAGCCGTTGCACTGTTTTGACATTCTGCTGTAAACATTTTACTATTAATAAATCAGTCTTAAACTCTTTTCTTTACACACAAGCACTTACAGAGTTACAATATTTTGATTTAAACTCCTTTTACTTTTGTTTGTGCTAAACCAATTCAACAAATGGCGGCTTTTGACATTTATTCTTCTTCTTCTTCTGCTAGCTAATTCGTGCAAGTAAAAGTTTCACTAGCAAGAATTGGCTGCTCTCCCGTGTTGTTACGCTCTCGATTCAGTGCTCTCTTGCAACTTTTTTGGGTTATCATACACTTTTCCAGTAAAAATTTGCAGGTTCCAGTACAAATTAGTACTGACTATTGGTTAATATACAAACCTATTGTTGCTTCTTCGGTACAGAGTGTTTAGTGTATCTTATATCTAAAAATGACAACTACTGGGTGATACATATAAACTTAAATAAATAATTAGTACACAAATGGGTAGGTAACATTACAATATATATATTGACAATTTTAGTTGTGTAACTGCATGAGAGTAAGTATATACATAAGTATAAGGATAAACTTTTTTTGTTGTATTCAAATATTAGTATTTAGTGTAAAATTATATTTAATTTAAAAAAATGTACATAGTAAAGTGTAAAGTACATATGTATGTATGCTCATACCATCAGATCCCACGAAGTCACCTTCTTGCGTACCGTTGCTCTTATTGATTGCCATGTAGAGCTGTGTTGCCATGTAAAGATGTGTTGTCCTAGTTGTAGCTGTTGTTGTTCGTTTCACGCTGCTATCGCACCCTGCTCAGCGATATGTATAGCGATATGTTCAATGCCAACGGTATACGTATGTATAATTTGTAACGGAGTTGCGATTTTTGGCATTCTTAGTGGCGCGGTTTTTATGCGCCGTTAGGAAACGGGTGTATATTTTTCGTGGTAGTCACGCATTAAAATGTATGTTCTTGTCAGTTTTTTTTCGGCTTTTACGCTCACGTTAGTTTTTATATAGTTTTCAACGTTTTCACCTTAAGTTTTATTGATATTTTTTTTTTGCTGTACCACTGTTACTGTTTTTTTTGTTTGTTCCACCAAGAAATACCACTTTCGCCACTAGCAACTTCACTTGTTGTTTTTTTAGTTTTTTCCACCCACGCTGCGTGCCATTACTTATGTGTTTTAAAGTCTCGTGTTTTTTTTTGTTTCTAAAAATTTGGTACCAGCGCTTTTTTGAGTTTTTTTTGTAATTTTTAAGTTTTATTAATATGTTGGAAGTTTTGAACCGCAACTACTGTTTGTAATTGGTAGGGACACGAATTCCGATACGATACGATACCACATCGATACTTTTGGCATTCGATACCGATATTTTCTACTCGATAGTTTTAAAACGATATTTTTTGGAATCGAGTGCCAGAACCCTAGTATCGTGTCGAATGTCATAAACTCACATTACAAGGATAATGTGTAATGTAGTTAGTATTGCATGTAGTGGAATTTGACCCCGCGACCTCGTTGTTTTAAGTCAACACATCAATCTCTACGTGCTGTTACACAATATGTTAGTGTTTGACCGAAATTCTCCTCCGGTTTGTCGCGCGCGCCTTAATGTTGTGGCACAAAAGGGGGCCCTACAGTTTTATGTCGACTCTGAACGGCGATTTGGTTTTAATGGGAAGCTGTTTTTCATTTTCAAGCTGTGCGCACTGCTAACCATTACACCACAGCGGCCTATATACGAGACCTATATGTAGATAAATTTTTTGGATTTTGGTATCGATATTTGGAATATCGAGTCTTTTTATTCCGATATTAATGCGTACCCGATATTTTTAAAGCGATACTTTAAATGAATACCACATCGATACATTCTGTTCGATATCGTATCCCTAGTAATTGGTATGAAAGTACGTATAATTTATGAAATTAAATGAAGTTCATTTTGAATCTGATAATGTGTGTACATACATACATATATGCCTGTTTAATTTTTTATTTTTTTTACGTTTTAGGTCACCACCACCAATATTGCTGTATACATACGTAACTGTATTTTACAACGCTTTTATCAACTTGCAATGTTGTGTGTCCAGAAACTTTCAATGTTGTGGATCCAGAAACTTTCAATGTTGTGTGTCCGACACCATAAAACCTTTGCTTTGAAAAGTTCCTAT